TCACTGAAATTGCTATTAGGTCTCCTAATTCCAATAAGTTGTTTCAAATTAATCCTTCCAATTGCTATTAGACCCCAAGCAAATTTTTCACTTTTTCACTTCCTATTATCCGAATAATATTTGCAAATAAAAAGTGCATGAAAATTGGACAAAGAAATGACAGTTTTAACTTCCCATCCAAGAGAACCGGGTTGGCCTTCAACAAATTTGCATCAAGAAAAAAGCACATATAGCTGACTCCAAAGCTCCAAAATTTGAAACGAAACTGAAAGCTACAGCCTTGTCCGCTCATTTAAGAAATTGTCTCTATATTGATCTTAACTTATGAGCTTAATGTGAGTTGTTAATCAGTCCTAGTTATAATAGAGTTCTAGTTAGAATAGAATACTAGTTAGGATAGTTTTTCTAGTTATTGGATAAGATTAGAGTTGTAATCTTATTCCTATATATATGTAAACAATCTTTGTAAGTAGTAGAACGTGAATAAAAGAAATCAAAAAGGTTCCTGCTCCATCTGTTCGTTCTCTCCTCTCTCTGTTTTGTTCGGTCATTAGCAAGTGCAGGTTTGTTTTCTTCCCTGCAGTCACTCCATCATCAATCCTTCGGCCACATCAACAGGAGCAGAGACAAACAATTCCCTGCAGCAAATCCTTTGTGTTCTTTGGTGTTCGGTTCCTAAAAAAATCAGCCAGGGAAGTTTTTGTCTTTCAGGTTTTTATAAAAGCTTACAACTTTGATACTTGGGCCGATCCTACTTCAAAACCAACAAGTGGTATCAGAGCGGTGTATGCCTAAGTACCAACCAAGATCTGAAGAGATGACGAGTTCGGAGAAGATGACGACCAAGGTGGGTTCGCTCTCTCTTCAATATCCGATGCTATCAAGGGATAACTATGCTTCGTGGGCAATCAAGATGAAAGTCTACATGAAGGCTCAAGACGTGTGGGATGCCATTGAGCCCGCGGCAGGCGCGTCCGTGGAACACAGGAAGGATCAGATGGCGTTGGCGGCCATCTACCAGGGGATTCCTGAAGAGACTTTGATGGTGATCGCAGAGAAGCAAACGGCTAAAGAGGCATGGGAGACGCTGAAAACAATGCATCTAGGAGCGGATCGTGTGAGGAACGCGAAGGTGCAGACCTTGAAGTCCGAGTTCGAACTTCTCCGGATGAAGGAGAATGACAACGTCGACGATGCGGACAGCAGTACCACGGCAGCGGACAGCAGTACCACGGCAGCGGACAGCAGTACCACGGCAGCGGACAGCAGTACCACGGCAGCGGACAGCAGTACCACGGCAGCGGACAGCAGTACCACGGCAGCGGACAGCAGTACCACGGCAGCGGACAGCAGTACCACGGCAGCGGACAGCAGTACCACGGAGGCCGCGGAGGGGAGCACGGCGGCCAGGCAGGCCGAGGCGGCTTCGGCGGCAGAGGAGGACGTCCAGGAGGTGGTTTCGGCCATGGAGGTGCAGCTCGCCAGGAGGGGGAGAGTAGCACAAGCGGTGGTCGAGACAAATCCAACATCAAATGCTTCAATTGCGGAGTATATGGTCACTTTCAGTCGGAGTGTCACAAGCAACGCCGCAACCATGAACAGGAGGCTCATCTCACCCGTGCATATGACGAGGAGCCAACCTTGATGATGGCTATGTTAGAGGAATCGTCAAGTGTTATTTTGCTTAATGAGGAGAAGGTGATGCCGGAGTTACTTATAGCGGGGGAGGCACGTGTTGACAACAACACTTGGTATCTTGACAACGGAGCTAGCAATCACATGACCGGCCACCGAGACAAGTTCAAGGAGCTCGACGAGAACATCAAGGGAACCGTCAAGTTTGGTGATGGATCCGCGGTAGAGATCAAGGGGAAAGGCTCTATCCTCTTTCAGTGCAACAACGGCGATCAAAGGCTACTACCTGAGGTATATTATATTCCAAGTTTGAAATCTAACATTATTAGCCTTGGTCAAATGACTAAAGATGGGAGTAAGGTTGTTATTGCTGACAAGTTCCTGAGGGTGTTTGATAGGAACGGTGCTCTCTTGATGAGGGTGACACGTTCGACTAACCGATTGTACAGGATAGAGTTAAAGACTTGCAAGCCGGCGTGTTTGATGGCGAACATTAACGATCCAGCTTGGTTATGGCATGCTCGCCTTGGGCATGTCAATTTCTTCACCCTCAAGATGTTGACTGATAAGAGGATGGCTTCCGGAGTGCCGAAGATCTTGCACCCGAATCAACTATGCGAAGGATGTCTTGTCGCCAAGCAAGCAAGACTGCCGTTCCCTTCGCAAGCAAACTTCAGAGCTCAGAGGCCGCTGGAATTACTACATGCTGACCTATGTGGTCCTATCACCCCATCCACACTTGCGGGTAACAGCTACTTCCTTCTTATTGTTGATGATTTCAGCCGATGGATGTGGGTATACATGTTGAAGGCCAAGAGTCAAGCTTGTGAAACCTTCAAGAAGTTCAAAACAGAGGTTGAGAATGCATGTGACCACAAGGTGAAGACATTGAGGACGGATCGTGGTGGCGAATTCTTGTCGAAGGAATTCACAAAACTGTGTGAAGACTACGGCATCAAACGTCATCTCACTGCACCGTACACCCCGCAGCAAAACGGTGTAGTGGAGAGGCGTAATCGCACGGTGATGGACATGGCGAGGAGCCTACTTAAGAGCATGCATATGCCTGGAACCATGTGGGGCGAAGCGGTTAGGCACGCGGTGTACATCCTCAACCGACTACCAACCAAGGCGTTGCACGACCACACACCCTACGAAGCTTGGTTTGGTAAGAAACCCCACCTAGAACACTTGAGAGTTTTTGGATGTATGGCGCATGTGAAGATTGCAGGCCCTTCTCACAAGAAACTCGACGATCGGAGCATGCCAATGGTGTATATTGGGGTAGAGGAAGGAAGCAAAGCGCATCGCCTATACGACCCTCAACATAACAAGATACGTGTCAGCAGGGATGTCGCGTTTGAGGAAGGAAAAGAGTGGGAATGGAGCGCCGATGGAGTCGAAAAATCACCTAACTGGACGGAGTTCACAGCGGAAGAGGAGAATGCAACGGCCAGCGCGTTTCCTGCAGTCCAAACTGGACAAACTGCAGCCCGAACAGGGGCTGCTGCTGTCCGAATACCTGCTGCTGCTGCTGCAGGCCGAACAGCCCCTGCAGGAGCTCATACCGCAGCGGAGTTGACCGGAGACGAGCCTGGACAGCCGGCACACCGAACAGCTCCTGCAGGAGCTGCTGCTGCTGGCACTGATGCTGGCCGAACCACCTTGCAGCAGGGCTTGCGGACATCTATGCGGAGACGGAGGTGATCGACCTTCCTGCAGAGGAATTGTTCCTGATCTCTGAAGAACCTACGAACTATCTCGAGGCTGCATCAGATCAAGAATGGAGGACAGCGATGGAGAAGGAGATGGAGGCCATCGAGAAGAACAAGACTTGGATACTCACGGAGTTACCGCGGGGTTGCAAACCCATTGGTCTCAAATGGGTATACAAACTGAAGAAAGACAATGAAGGTAACATTCTCAAGCACAAAGAAAGACTTGTAGCAAAAGGGTACGTCCAGCAGCAAGGCGTGGACTTCGATGAGGTATTTGCACCTGTGGCGAGGCTTGATACCATCAGAATAATCCTCGCTATATCAGTGCAGAACGGATGGGAGGTGCACCATTTGGATGTGAAGTTGGCATTCCTAAATGGTGATCTCCAGGAGGAAGTTTATGTGGTTCAACCTGAAGGGTTCGTTGTGAAGAATCAAGAGCACAAGGTCTACAAGCTTTCAAAGGCACTCTACGGTCTACGCCAAGCACCTCGAGCATGGAACACACGCCTCGACAAGTGCATGAAGGGCATCGGATTTGCAAGATGCACTCAGGAGCAGGCGGTATACACAAGGAGTAACAGAGGGGATACACTCATTGTTGGCGTGTACGTAGATGACTTGATCGTTACGGGCTCGAGGGCGGATGAGATAAAGTTTTTCAAGCAACAAATGATGAAGGAGTTCGAGATGAGTGACCTTGGATTACTTTCCTATTATCTTGGCATTGAGGTGGATCAGCGAGATGGTTGTATTGCACTAAGGCAGGCGGCCTATGCGAGGAAGGTTTTGGGTCAGTTCGGGATGATGGATTGCAACCCGACTCAATATCCTATGGAAGCAAAGCTAAAGCTTGGAAAGGATTCTAATTCCTCAAATCACTGAAATTGCTATTAGGTCTCCTAATTCCAATAAGTTGTTTCAAATTAATCCTTCCAATTGCTATTAGACCCCAAGCAAATTTTTCACTTTTTCACTTCCTATTATCCGAATAATATTTGCAAATAAAAAGTGCATGAAAATTGGACAAAGAAATGACAGTTTTAACTTCCCATCCAAGAGAACCGGGTTGGCCTTCAACAAATTTGCATCAAGAAAAAAGCACATATAGCTGACTCCAAAGCTCCAAAATTTGAAACGAAACTGAAAGCTACAGCCTTGTCCGCTCATTTAAGAAATTGTCTCTATATTGATCTTAACTTATGAGCTTAATGTGAGTTGTTAATCAGTCCTAGTTATAATAGAGTTCTAGTTAGAATAGAATACTAGTTAGGATAGTTTTTCTAGTTATTGGATAAGATTAGAGTTGTAATCTTATTCCTATATATATGTAAACAATCTTTGTAAGTAGTAGAACGTGAATAAAAGAAATCAAAAAGGTTCCTGCTCCATCTGTTCGTTCTCTCCTCTCTCTGTTTTGTTCGGTCATTAGCAAGTGCAGGTTTGTTTTCTTCCCTGCAGTCACTCCATCATCAATCCTTCGGCCACATCAACAGGAGCAGAGACAAACAATTCCCTGCAGCAAATCCTTTGTGTTCTTTGGTGTTCGGTTCCTAAAAAAATCAGCCAGGGAAGTTTTTGTCTTTCAGGTTTTTGTAAAAGCTTACAACTTTGATACTTGGGCCGATCCTACTTCAAAACCAACACTTAATACCACATTTTCTGTCATCCTCACTTTGTGCAATGTAATGTCAATAAACATAAGGCTTCATATATGGTAAACAATATTGAATAAGAATGATGTATGTTTTCCTGCTGTTAAATTGGCATCTCTTCACTTGGTTCAAGAAAAAAAATTCATTGCCTCCATCAAGTAGTTTGCAGCCTAACGAAAATTTACCAGCGAGTATCATTGTTTTATCAAGGAGGTTTTCCATCATCAAGATCTTCCATCACGTCTATGTCCTTTCTCGCTGTTATTTTCTGAACATATCCTGAACAGAGAAACAACATGAAGTTATTGTAGCCTTGAATTTCCTATCATATTTGTATATTAGTTATAAATAGCATAACATCTGAAGGAAAAACGGAAGAGCAATTTCACTATGAGCTCAGAATGAGGGGAGTTAGCAGAAAGTTGTAGCGACTAATGAGAGCTGTACACAAAAAGCACATTAACAGAGTGTAGCATTTGTAATTCCGAAAGAAAAAAGGTTCACAATCCAAGAAAAGAGTGCAAAATTTGTTACCAATTTTTGTTCATGAACAGTAGTAAACACTATGAATATTTGAAGGTAATGAGAAAAGTGTCATTTGGAAAGTGATGCATATAAAAGTATTATTCACCTAGTTCTTAACTTTTGCTTACCGAGAATAATAGATGCGCACAAAAATAATCCTTACTTTTTTTTTTTTTTTTGCTAAACAAAAATTATCCTTTCAGGAATAAATGAAAGAGTAATTATATCTAAAAAAGAAAATGCTAAAAGATCATTAGGAGCTCTATGTAAAGAACTGTAACATATAATAATATTAGAAGGTAAACTGATTCTTTTTGGAACCCTTAAATTATGAGATAAAACTCATGGAAACTAATTGTTATTATACATTATGATAATTGTTGCTTTATAGCATTCAAAGATAACAGATAATCTGTGATTAATGGAAATAGTTCTCAGTGATAAAAAGGGTTAAGACATCGAAAAGAAACTCGCGTTGATGCAATTTCAAGAAAAAACTTTAATGAGGATTCACCAACTACCAGTCAGATCAAGGCTAGACCAGTGATACATTTAATACGTACGTTTAAATATCAATAGATAGAAAATTGGGCTGTATCAGCACTTTCTCGTTTGATATTAATTATCCAGGAAGCATTAGACTATAAAACCACGTTTACCCCTTCACTACCCCTTAGATCAGTTCAAAACGAAAAAAAAATTCAAGTTAGTTAAACTTTAGAGCATCTGAGCATATGCTTTGCATGTCTGCAAGCATGAGCTCGAGATAAGTTACAAATGAATCTGGTCATAAGAAAAAAATCGCATGGAATTAGCCCTACGTCTACAAGGAGGTGATAAATCTGTAGCTAAATATGATCTGGAGCAGGAAGTTCTTCAAGGTTTTATAGCAAGTTAAATTTTGAATCTTTGAGACATATTATATGTATCCGGACATGATGTCAGACCTAATTCATAATCAGTTGAATGGAAGCTTTAAACATACAGTAAAAGATACACTCCGCATCAATAGAGAAGAAAAGAGAAAAAAACACTAGCTTTAGGGCATTTTTGGGTCCTTGCATGTGTGTGCCTGTGTGCTCGTACGCATGAACATAAGCACACACGCATAAACCCATGATATAAAACCTACTTGTACCCACTAAAGGTGTTATTTATGTCTACAAGTTACAGGTTGGACATCTCTATAACAAAAACATCACAGGTAAACAAAGGTATAACAAAAATATTGCGGGTAAACAAAGCATGTCATTTCATTTTCCCAACATATGTTCCTTCAATTGCATTTTGGTAAAAGAAAAAAAGGTATTATGTACTAGTTTGGGTAGCATGAGAGAGTGGAATCAAGATTACAGGGAAAGATGGCAACTTCCACAACATCAAGGTTATAAATATCGGATATCGGGGAAGTATCGGATGGCCAAAATTCATATCGTATTGCGGATATCGGGGAAATATCGGGGATATGTGGTAAATATCGGAATGCCATAATGAATGTTTGCATACATAATATAATGCATTAAAATGTAATCTCAACATATGTAATAAAATTTAAGCATACAAAATATGAATAATATAAGTTTAGGATCACTAATCAACCTTCTAAAACAAACAAAAGTGCAAAACAACGTTGCAACATTCAATCTGCTTTTTTAGGGCAAAATGTCATTTGATATAATGGAGAAATCTTGATATCTCGCCCAAAAATTCCAAAAACGGTATATTATTTTGCAACAAGCTATATAAAAAGATATATTGGTCCACATATCGGCTAGTATATCGGCCATATCGGGGATTTATCACTCAAAATAGCCAAAAAACGGTAAAGGATATTTAAAGACCATATCGGTTACGGCAAACCCTGTAAAAGGATATATCGGGGGATATATCGGGCCATGTCGGGGATATTTAAAACAATGCACAACATCATGGCTTAATAATTATTTTAAATTTAGTAAAAACTTAAAAGAATTGTGGATTTATTACCAGTGGTTTAAGAGTGAAATATGAGGTCAAGGTGATGAGGTGCTATATTGCCTAAGGCAAGAGAAACCAAACAAAAGATCGCCCAAGTGAAATAGGTGGAAAAATATTCCAAATTTTCATAAAATTTTAACAAACAATATGCAATTAAACACAATAAATTAATAAATCACAATAAGACAAGTTAATGACAAATGAAATTTCGAAGTCACAAACTATAACACTAACACGATATTAACCGCCTAAATCAAGTATTAAGTATATTAATGGGTAATAGTAATTAGTCAGGGTAAATTACACTAAACCCCCAAGAACTTTCAACATTTTGCAGTAAACCCCCCAACAACTTTTGCAAAAAAAACCCCAAAGTTGACATTGTTACATCTGACATGGCACGTGCAACTCATGTGACTTAAAAAGACCAAAATAACCGTTAAATTATTAATAATCCCTTTATGACCTTTTTTATATTTTCAACCCTCAACGCAGAAATCTCAAATCTCTCTTCCTTTGTTGTTCGTTTTCCTCTTGCTCGCATCTAGGTTAGGTCCCGAACATTTTTTTTTGTTGAAATTGTCCTCCAAAACGTATCTTTATGTTTTTCTTTGTTTAATTTATAGGGGTTATCTACAAAATGCGAAAACTTATTGGGGGTATTCCGCAATTCCAAAAGTTACCAGGGTTTTAGTATGATTTTGAAAGTTATTGGGCGTTTACTAAAAATACTGAAAGTCCTTGGATATGAATGAAGTATAGCTGCTAGCGCTAGCAAAATTATAACCTGCAGCTATTGAATTGATCTCTCACTAGGAATCCAAGAAAAATTTGATTTCCTCCATCATGAATAATAGAGCAGATAGAAAACATATATCAGCAAGTATCTTTGATTTATCAAAGGTGGTTTTCCATTATCGAGATCTTCCATCACGTCTATGTCCTTCCTAGCTGTTATTTTTTGAACATATCCTAAACAAAGAAATGGCTAGAGTTATTGAAAAGACTAGTTGGAATTCATAGTAGGATGCAAACAAATATTTGCAGATGTATTTGCATTCATCTGAGATGGATGCATATATCAGACAAGATATAGATACAGATATGGCTCTTTTTAATTATTTGCAACAAATATGGATATAAGTACAATATCTATGTCCATATATGAATTTTTGGAAATATGTAATGATCAAATGCAGGGAAGTGCAGAATTCAGTTTTAACTGAATAAACTGCCTGATTTTAGTGGCTTAGTTCAGTTCTATAAGCTAGTCAGTTCATGTTAAAAAATTTCAACCCACATGGACTGAACCGCACTCTTTATCTTAGTTCTCACTGCTTGGTTTGGGTTATGGGTTTAGCATCAAAAGTCCATTCTCATTTCTTGCCCATCTCCCCCCCTACTGTCTACACACATGACACGTGACCCTCCAACCCTCTCCCTCACTGTCCCACAAACTGAAGCAGAGAATCCAAGAGGCCATTATCCAAGAACATAAACTTAATTGTTATAGATCCAAAATATCTCTCTCTCTCTCTCTCTCTCTTACTGTCTCACACACGACACATGACCTTCCAACCCTCTCCCTCATCGTCTCGCAAATTGAAGCAGAGAATCCAAGAGGCCATTAACCCAACAATATAAACTTAGATACCATAGATCCAAAATCCTTCACTCTAGTGGATTCTCCGAAGTCTTTGGTGTCTGCTTGATGTTGAGGAAACCAGAAAATTGTCTTTAAGAATTGAATGTTGGATATTCTTCATTATTTTTTACTCTTTTTTAGATTTATTTTAAGATTTTAGTAGAAAAAGAGTTCACGGTGATTTTGGATAGTGAGTGGGATAATTGGTTAGTAAAAGGTTGGATTTTGTTCTTAACATGCTTGAGATTTTTGAATGGCTTGAATTGTTTATCTATCTTTTGTATTATTGCCACGATCTAATAGTTAGGTTGGACCTAGTTATAGCATTACTTTTGAAATATGGTTCATACATTGATTCGAATGGTTGAAAGTGTGAACTTTTCTTAAAAGACTAAACTTTTTTCTTGAAGTGAGATTAGTTATTTAACTTGATTGACATAGGTTCAAAGTTCAAACCAAACAAATCGATCAAACTTAGCTGAAATAATGTCACGGTTTGGTTCAAACTCTACGTCAGTTTGGTCTCAATTTCACATTAGATAAGAAACCAATTGAACTGACTTGCTTGCTCACACCTAACCAAACGGTATGGCGTTATAATAGTAGATTTCAGATCAATTTAGACATCTAATGTAGCTTTTTAGATACTCTGAACACATGAAATTTTGTTTTGTTTAAATCATATACGTATCTCCAACGGCCCTGAAACCATATACAAATCTACTAGATCTGTGATTTGCGAGCAGATTTGAACATGGTAAGCACTATCCGATTCTTATTCGACCCATTTGCACCCCAAACAAGGTTATGTTTTTGCATTAGTTATAGATAAGCTATCATCTGAAAGCAAAAAAATAATAAGAATGCACTGTAAGTTCAGAGTGAGAGGAGAAAGCAGAATAATGTATACAAATAATGAGAAATGTACACTAACAGAACATGAACAGCAAGAAGCATCTTAATTCTGAAGGAAAAGCTTGTATGCTCTTGAAATTCAGAAAAAAAAAGAAAAATATATTGCATCTTTTCTTACTAGATATTGAACACTTTTACAGTTTGGAGTCTCAAAGAGTATTAAATTCTATGAATTTTTTGAGGTAATATACGAAGTATCATATGGAAGGTAATACAT